GAATCAGATGCATTCTGCTATGTTAAAGAAACCGGACACAAAAAGCAAGCTTCTGTATGATTCCATTTATATGACATTCTAGAAAAGGCAAAGCTATAGGGAGAGAAAAGAGATCACAGGAGCTGAGGTGTGGAGCTGGGGGTGAGGGGCTGGCTGACAACAGAGTGGCATGGGGGAACTTTAGGGGTGAGTGACTCTCCTATGATCTGTGTTCTGCTGATGGTTACATGGATATGTGAGTTTGTCAACAGTCAAAGAACTGTATACTAAAAAGGGTAAATTTACTATTTGTAAATGTTCTTCAATAAGTCTAACTTTTATACTTTTTTTCAATATAAACAAATATATATATATATAAACACATGCACACATGTGTACACACACATGTGCTTTCCAGCTGCTTTAATAGTTGAATAATATGCCATTAAATGCAGACATCTATTTTATTTGGCTAGTTCCTTGCTATTGAATGGTTTCCAGGGTTTGGGCATTCTTTTTAATGCTGTGATGCTATGGAAGACAGTAGGGAGTTGGTCCAGGACTTGGCCAAGCCTGCCCCAGTGCCTCCCCACACATGCTTTCACTCCATCCCTACACAGCCCGGAAATAAGGATTATTATCTGTTCTACAGAGGATGCAGCTGAACTTAGCAGGGCGGTAGGGGAAGTCACGTGTGCAAGCTGCACAATCAGGGAGCAGGAGACCGAGGATCCCAAACTGCTTCTGTCTAGCTGGGAGACCCACGCTCCTTTCCTTACACTGTGCAGCCAGTTGTAAACTATTGAAAGGAAGTAACTGTGTCTTATTCCTGTTCGTCCCTCCAGAGCAACTAACATATAGGAGACTGGACCCAAGATGAGATGTTGCCCAAGAACCGGGGGTTGGCTGAACTGAACCCCACTCTCTAATGCAATACAGTCAACAGTCTGCCCATGAACTCACTCCTAATGAAGACGAGCCCTTGGTACACCGCGGGGGTGGGGAGCAGGATGAAGTCAGCCAGTGGTCCTTGAGTGCCTGTTGTGCCAGGCACTGACGTGAGAACAGGTACGTGATGGTGCAACTGTTCCCACTCTCCACCTCAACGCTGGTGCTTAAACAGAGAGCCCGTCCTTACTTGAGGGAGCCACTGCTCCCAGAGAAGGCCCAGTGTTCACAGCCAAAGGCAGAAATCTCAGTCTTGGCTTGACCTGAGACAGGAAAACCAAAGGGGAGGGGAGGCCCTGGCAGGGAACATTCTAGAACCTGACCCTCAAGGAGCCCCAATCCAGCCTGCAGGCTCCCTCTGTTCATGACCTGCAGTAAACAGTTGGGAGCCCTCTTGCACTGGTGAGAAGTTCCTCTCTTTACTGGGATGACTGGGCTGGAAAGGTGCTGTTTAGGAGACAAACGAGAGACGGAGAGGGGGTCCAGAAGGCAATGTGTGTGGACCTGCAGCAGGGGAGTGCGTCAGAGTGATGTACACAAGCTGGGTGTGAGTGCACTGTATGTGCAGAGGATGTGTGTCAGAGAGTGAGTCCTGACTCCAGGAGGTCTGATGTGCCTCCTAAAGGGCCACCTGCCTCCTACTCAGGCATGGTCAGTTTTCGTTAAGCATTCCTTTGTGTGTGGTCAGAAAGAATCTGTATTTCACAGTGTACCCTATGAATCAGCTCACAGTTTAGCTCATTGAATCAGCTTGTCAGTACGTTTTGCGATGTTTCTATATCTTAGCTGATTTTTGTGTCCCCTTGATTTATCAGATCCTGAGAGAGGCGTATGTAGGTCTCCCACTATGGTGAACTGGTCATTTTCTCCTTACAACGGACCAAAATTTTTATTATCTGTTTTAGGATTTTTATTAGATGCAAACAATTTTAGAATTATTAGTATCATACCTTCCTAGGGAATTGAAGGTTTTATCAGAATCTTTGTGCAGCATTTTTCAACACCAGCAGTTAATTCTCTGAGTTTCCAGACACCAACTGGGTGCTCAATGAATCGGTTCGATTTTGACACTAAACAGACTTCACAGTGTTAAGTACTCAGTCCCCTTAGACTGTCTTTCTTCACATCAGATGTCTTTCACCACTCACCTGTACTTTTGTCAGAACCCCTCCAACATTTCAGTAGTTGTCCAGAATGGCTCACAGAACTCAGAAAGGCACCTTAAATGTTTACCAATTTATTATGATGGATACAATTCAGAAGCAATCAAATAGAAGAGAGGGGGAGGGCAAGGCATGGGGACAGAGGATGCAAGGAGCTTCCATGTCCTCTTGAGGCAGCCACTCTCTGGATACCTTGGTATGTTCACCACCCAGGAAGGTCATCAAGTCTCCTCACTGAACAGTTTTTATAGAGCTTAATCTTCAGCACCCCCTCCCACATTCCCTTCTTAGAGATCAGTAGCCTGAAATTTCCAACCCTCTAGTCACTGGGTCTTTCTGATGACCAGCCCCATCCTAAGGCTATCTTAGGGTCTAAGTCACCCCATTAGTACAAACTCAGGTTGATCAACGGAGTCTCCTTAGAAATAGCAAAAGATAAAGCGTATCACCAAGGAAATTCTGAGGGTTTTAGGAGCTCTGGCCAAGAACCAAGGACAAAGACCAAGTGTATTTCTTATAATGCCACACTTTTCATCCTTTCTGTCCAGTAATCATTTTTGGTTTAAAGCTTATATTTTCTGATATCAATATAGTTATGCCAGCTTTCAGTTAATTAGTATCAACTAATTAACCAGTTTTTAGTTAGTAGTTGCCTAGTATATCTTCTTTTAATTAAAAATATTACTATAAAATTTATTGAAATAATTTTGAGTTTTATTTTGTTTAAATTTTCAAGTTTCAGCTATTTATAAGGTATTTACTATGTAAATGTTTTAATATACAAAAGTACTAGTAACATGGCCTCTCATATAACTAATGCATGGGTTAAAATCTTATTTTATCATGTTTGCTCTATCTGCATCTATTTTTTTACACCATGTGTTTTACATAAACCTCATACCTTTATCACACTTAATAAGATTCATGATTCCTTAATATTCTTCATTATCCAGTTCACATTCAAATTTCCCCAGTAAACCTAAATTGCTTTTATAGTCCTTTCTCACATTTAGTTACTTTGTTTCCAACATGTCTTTCAGTCTAGGACAGTTTATACACACCCTAAAATTTTTTCCTTGATAACATTAATGCTTTCAAGACGTCAAATGACTTGTCACATAAACTGTCCATCTTATTAACTTCAGTCTTTATGTCCTTATATTTCAATTGTATCTGCTGTAAACAGTATTCCCTGGATTAGTTTTCTAACCCAGTATGTTTGTCTTTTACTTGGCAAGTTTAGTTCATTTATATTTATGGTCACTATCAATATATTTGGAATTAGTTCTTCCATCTTATCTGATTATTTCCACAAATCTCACTTTCTATATGTAATGCTTCATTATTTTTTAATTGAATGGGGTGCTTTTGTTTTGCTTTCTTGCGTTTAATCTACCTCATTCCATAATTAATTTGGAGATCTATACTCCATGGGTCCACATCACATTCTGCCCAGTGTGTGAGAAGGGCCTTCAAGAGACTCCCCTTTAATTTTGGCCTGTGTCCCTTGGGCTTGGCAAACTTGAAAACAGGCATGAGATGTTATATCAATAGAGCTAAGATAAAACTAAAAGAAACTAACTGGGAGAAAACTATTCTTATGTCAACACTGGGGAAAGAAGGAGCATAAGCTTTTCCTAGACCAGGTATGGTCCAAGCAGGAGGGAACTAGAAAGGAGCCATTTATAAGTCCCGTCCAGGATTCCACAGACAGATGGTCCCGAGACAACCAAGGCTGCCAAGGGAAATACTGGCAACCAGATGGAGGCGATGACTTGCCTTGTGGAGGGAAGGACAATTGGCCCCAGCAGGGTGCTTCCAAGGAGCCCACAAAAGCCCCTTTCAGGAAACTGGTCACTTTGAATATCTGCCAAGCACAGTGAGTAACAGAGGCAGACCCCAAGGGACCAATCACGAATGGTCGTACCTCCTTCCCTAACCCCTCCCCAGAGGCCTCAGCAGCACGCAGGTCAGGTATAGGACCATCCACACCCACACTCCATAAGGTCTGAGGCAGCCTTGTACCATGGGACCTGGCTCCACTGGGCAGAGCTGATTGGTCTGGTGGGCCACCTGACCCAATGGCAGTCAGCCAATCAGTAGACAGCTCAGTGTGTGAGTGAGCCAATCAGATTCTCTCTCAGGAGCTTGTGCTAGGAGCACCTCGCAGGCCACAGGGAGGGATGAAGCTAAGCGGATATGGGAAGAGAAGCCACAGGAGTGGCTTCACATCCACAGGAGTGGGTGTGGGATCAGAGACTTGGGGGCCGTGGCAAGCCCCAAGAGGAGAGGACACAGGATCACTGTGGGGTGGAACTGATAAGGCAGAGAAAAGCTGTGGAGACCAGGGGAGGTTTTAAACAAGATTGGCCAGAGTATATACTTTTCATTATGGCTGTGGTTTGGTTTGGTTTGAGCCCCACTGGACATCTACAGACTTCAGCTGCTGACTCCTGGAAGCCGGCCTGGGTCTAGTTCCAGGTCAAGGGTCCTGGTTTCCCTTGGTTCGTGTTCTTGCATATCAGTCAGGTTTGTCCGTCTTCCTTGCTGTGCACCTGTATCTATACAACTGGAAACACCCATTACTTAAGATAACCAGAGCTGGACTTTGTTTCCTACAGGTAAAGAACACAGCCCACAAATAGAAAGTGAGAGAAAATCACCAAAGACCTAGAGCACAGCCTGGCATCAGCAGGAACAGAGCCTCACTGCAACCTCAACAGACTTCATGCCAAGCAGTCCTTGATGCATTATCCCCAATAAAATCTTTCCTTCCTGGGCTTTATTTTATCCTTGTGAAAATAAACCTTATTGTAAAATAGAATGAAAACTACAAACCAACGCAGAAACCCTCTAGGAAAAAAAGACCCCCTCAATGTATAAAGTCACTGCAGACAGGACTGTATAGAGTCACTGCTTTTGTTTCTTGTTTCTTGAGAACATGACTCCAATGAGGCCCATGGCTGCAAGGCCCACTCCCGCGATGCCAACTGCCATGATGGCATCCCTGACCTGCAAGAGAGAGGACAGTGAGTCAGATTCTGTGTCAGGAAGCTGCGAACAGACTGTACATTCAACAGGGACATCCAGCTCAGGGAGCTGGACATGCCCCTTAGCTTCCTTGACAAACTCAGGAGTCAACAAATATTGGCAGGGAAATGGGGAGAGAAGGACAGGATGGGAAAGCACTTGGTGGATGGGGCCAGCTGCCAACAAAGTACACAGGCATGAAGAGGGAAACTCCTCTGACCCTGTGAGTTTTTAAAGCAGACAGAGCCCCAGAGGGTGGCTGTAGAAAGGACAGGGAGACGGAGCCAGATGGTTGAAATCCTGACTGGCCAACAGGGAGCTCTTGAAGTAAGTATAAAGTTGAAAAGAAATTGCTATTAAATCCTCAATAAACTCTGACCTCTGTCCTACAAATCCCTCACTTATCTTCATCCTTGCTGAATCCCCAGAGCACAGTCCAGCCAACCATTGACCTTTGCATGTTCTTAAATATATGACTCAACTATGTAAAAGAGTAGTGATGTTATACTTTAAATTATTAAGATATCTGGAAAAAAAAAAGATATCTGACTTGTATTGCTTATAGAAAAAAAAAACACTGGAGCAAAAGTAAGAGTAAGTTTCATGGTAAAAACTGAATATATGTCAAATTTCACTCTCCTGAACTCCAACTAAAAATAAAGTAAGTCATTAGTTTTAGACATAATTTCACTAGGACTTAAAGAACACTAACTGCAATGAGGGCACAATGCCCCAATCAGCAAAACTGTACTTCTCCCAACTAAAAGAGTATCATGAACATGGATCAAGAAATCTCCCCTGAAACCAATCAGGCATTTAAGCAGAATCAAGATTCAAAAAGGAAAAGATTTCCTTAATGGTTTGATGCCAAGAAATTCAATGAAACCATATATCAGAAATCTCAATAATATAAAGGGTGAAAATGTGGACTTGGAACCCAAAATCCACATCCTTACATGACCCGCCAACTCTGCCCTTGGTACCCTAAGCACAGAGCTTGTCTAGGTTGTATATTTTGTGGCTGCAAAACTCACACATGCCCAACATAGAGAACAATTTGGAAAGCTTCAATGGTTAAAAAATATGTATCTTGGCGCTGCCCAGGCTCATCTGAGCCATAAATGTGTCCAGCAAAGCTATGTGAAATTCCAGGAAATATACCTGTGTAACTAACATCACAAGGTATCCAGAACTGGTATCCAGAGCAGAGCAGAGCAGCAGAGCTGGCAGATGACAAAAGTTTGAATGAGGCAACTGACCTAAGTTCCACTGTCAGTCAGTCTTCAGAGCTTCCTGTGAAAGGTAATCAGGCTGGCTTTATGGCACCCATGGTTCTGTTTCGTTCTTGCTAGGGAACCTGCATATAACCACTTGTATCCAGTGTTTTCCTTGCTAAGCTACGTGTCAGGGTGGGAGAAATGGTTTGCAGATAATGGAGTAGGAACAATAAGCCCCCAGTTCTTTACAGAACCTCATAGTGTGAGAAGAAATGCTGATGGAGCCAGTTCATACAAAAGGTACTTTGTCAAGGAAAACAACAGTAGCCTCATTGTTTGTGCTCATGCTTTGTACAAAGTATGTAATTAAATACAAAAAGTAATATATAGTTGGTCCTGAGGGTGCAAGTTTTACAGAAAGAATGATCTTCCTGGGAGAGACAATGCTACCTTCAGATGCCATTGATGATTTTCTTGTTGCAAGGCTGCTGGGTCCAGCCCAGCCACTGTGCTGAAATTGCAGTTCTCATCATGAAAATAGGCTACATGGTGTGCGTCAGAGGTCTTCAATCAGAATATTATGAAAGAGAAAAATTGTCCCTCATTATCTTTTTTTAAAGTGGTCAAACTGTAATTCTATCAGTGCAGACAACTAGCTGCTTATGCTAAAACGTCCATTCTGAGTTAAGCCTTGGAATTGTTTCTAGGCAAAAGACAATTTGAATGTGCTTGAATTGAACATGCTTTCAGCCATGTTTTAAGTGGATATAAGAAGAGTAATATTACTCATAGAGCAACTGAATTTAGACTGAGTGGTTACAAACTAAGAATACTTATAAAATATTTGACATCAAGTTGGCTTTAATATTTACAGTAATTTTTAAATAATTGCCCTGCAATTTATCCAGGTTTATGAAATATACACATTACCACTGGCCAAATCTTCAATTTCTACTTATCTTAAAATTTTATCTGATACAGAATAGACTGCAGCCTGAGTGTGTAGCTCCTAGTTGCTTTTTTTACAAAAGCTTACTAAGTATACTTTTCTTAAAACCTGAGTATTTTTAGGTAGGTAGATGGAAAATAGGAGAATCTGTTTTAGAATGCTCAGGCGTGGAAAGCACAAACTACATTTTAGTTTTAATCCATTGCTTCCCTTTCTGACTGGAAAGTTAGACGAGTCACATGTAGTCTGTTGAAGGAAAATCTAGTCTGCTTTAAAGAGCTGAACACAAATAAACATAATGACTAATCAGATTCTTTTAACACAAACACAAATGTCCTCATGAGTTAAATGAAAAAGAGAGTTGCTGCTTTGACAGCAATTACAAAGAAAACTACTGCTGGACATTGTCCAGCACCCGCTACTTTCACCCTCTCTGGTGAGATGGGACAAGTGCAGAAGCTGCATTTTAATTTGGCCACAGCATTATTATGATCGTTGCTTGCCTTGGCCAGTGATTCTCAACAAGGGGACAGGCTGGCCTCTGGGAGATATTTGTCAATATCTATAGACATTCTGGCTCTTACACCTGGGGGTGGGAAGGCTACTGGCATCTAGAGGGTAGAAGACACAGATGCTACTAAACATCTTGCAATGCACAGAGCAAGTCAGGACAATGAAGGCTTAACTTCATTGTCAATGGCCCAAAATGTTAACAGTGCTGAGGCTGAGAAACCCTCATCTAGGCCAAAAAGTAAAAGAGGAAATCTTTGGAAATGGCAAAGTTTAAATGCCTCCTCTTGCTTCGTAGTCTAGCCTGCTTTCATGTTCTTTGAAGGGGGTCCAGAAGAATTGTTGATGCTGTTTTGCCTTTTCAGGTGTATGAGTGGTGCAATAGGCTAAAGTCTGAGGAAGAGAAATGGCACGTGTCTAGTCAGTGTTGCTTCATTTTTCAGGAAGATGTTCGTAGAAAGAATGAACAATACACAAATATTTCTTGGTTTTTTTACTATCTCAAGATTTGGAATTGTACTTAAACGCTCTATATATTATTTTTGTGTACTGACAAATGTATTTTACTAGATTATGTAACAATATTGTGTTAAAATGTTCTACTAACATGAACTTATGAATTTGTTCTTCAGTCTATTAATAATCACTAAAGGACAACTAAAAATGACATGATTAAGAGATATTTTATAAATCTACCAAATCTTCCTGATACAACACCCTAAATTTATTACTTCCCAAATGTGTACAGTAATCTCTTTTTTTATTTTACTGCTGCGGAAGAGAGTGGACATTTACCTGAAATTGAAGCCAGGTCTAACTGGGACCTCAACTGTTATGTAGTACCAGGAATGATGAAATCCGATTTATTTAGTGTAAGTTTCTCTTTATCCTGATGTCATCATTGCTCCTTTTAAAAAACTTCTATTATACTAAATATACCAGTAAATGTTAGTTTTCTAATTTAAAAAGGTAAATAATTGGAAAACAGGAGGGAGAAGATAAGGAAATCAGAGGAGGGCTTCCCTGGTGGCTCAATAACAAAGAATCTGCCTGCCAATACAGGAGATCCGGGTCCCACTCCTGACCCGGGAAGATCCCACCTGCCACAGAGCAACTAAGCCCATGCACCACAACTATTGAGCCCGTGCTGCGAGCCCAGGAGCCACACCTGCTGAGCCGACGCGCTGCAGCTACTCAAGTCCATGTGCCTTAGGGCCACGCTCCACACAAGAGAAGCCGTCGCAATGAGAAGCCTGCACAGCAACGAAGACCCAGCACAGTCAGAAATGAATAAATAAAAATTTTTAAAAAAAGAAAATCAGAGGAGCAGTCTAGGGGTACAACCTCCGGAATAAAAGAAGAGAAAATGGAAAACTTCCCAGAACTGAAGAATTGGGGTTTCCAGACTGAAAAGAGTCATCAAGTTCCCAACACAAATCTTGAAACCAGATCCACGAAAGGTTTATCACAGATAGATTTCAGAATGTTGAAGATAAAGAGAAGAGTCTATAAGCTTCCAGAAAGATAAAACTGGTCACATACAAAGCCTCTAAAGGAGCAGAACGAATTCAGACTTCTCAACAACAATAGCTTAAATGACATAACAATGGAGCGATACCTTCAAATTTGGGGCAAACTTTTTTTTCAGCTTAAAATTCCACCCCCAGTCAAACTATCAATAAAATAGGATAAAATGAAGATATCTTCAGGCACACACAGTCTTTTTAAAATGCACCCTTTCTCAGAACCTATTCAAGGTGGTATTCCACCAAAACTAGAGAGTAATCCAAGAATGAGAAAGATGTAAGCTTTCTCAGAGGGTAAAAGCATTAATACAGGAGAAAACTGAAGGGTGTCTCTAAAGGCTACTAGTAAAGACAGATACTAGGATTACAGTATGCATCAAATGTGACTCAAAACAAAGGTTTCAAAGGTCATTTTCCCCAATAGACACATATACTGATGCCATCATCCCCCAGATTCCTTCTGTTTGCATCACCTTTGTAACCTAATGAGGTTCCTCTCATGGACCTGCCCAATGATTTTCCCAGAAGGAGGATCTCATAAACTGTCAGAAAAGTTGAAACCAGACTGTGACCCAGAGATTCTGGAACTCTTCACCAAACATTGGCAGTATTATCCTGTCCATACCTAGGTAGGGGTGTACTTGATATTCCTCGATTTTTATATTAATCACCTTTCACATTCACATATACATACTTATATATTTATTGCACATAAGTACATATATATGGGTGAAGTAATCAGCATGCAGGTCAGTGTAGTAAACACCACTGGTTATCAGCAGTATGAGGAAGAAGGCTGAGCATGATCTGTGCTGTTGAATGCCTCCCCAGGATGTCACTGTGGCCCAGACAGGCCAGTGGACAAGACACTGGGTGAACCAAGAGGAAGAATGAAAATGAGGACCATTATGACTACTTCAACTCCCACAATTTATTAAGAGAATTTTCTTAGCTGCCACTATGCTAAGCATAAAGGATGCTCTTATCTAATTCACACAGTAACCCTCCGAGATCAATATCATCGCGCGTACTTTACCAAATGGCAACCCACTCCAGTATTCTTGCTTGGAAAATCCCATCGACAGAGAAGCCTAGTGGGCTACAGCCCATGGGATCACAAGAGTCAGACACGACTGAGCGACTAAACCACCAAGAGTGGTATTTAACCTGAGAGAATCAACCCCCAAGGTCATAAAGCTGACAAAAGGCAGAGCTCACATCCAGCCCAGGCCTGCCTGACTCCAGAAGCCCACACTCTTGACCACCACACTGACCAAGGAAGACACCAAATCTCAAAAAGTTATAAAGTAATGAAAATCAACAACCTAATGGATCTTAACTTCACCTTTCATCAAAAGAAAAAGAAAAATCATACTCTTTTGCATCAACTGGCATCTAAGAACTTTTGGAAATAATGTTGTCACACACACACACACACACACACACACAAGAGGAGAGGAAGGTCCAGAAAAGGAGGGGAGGAAGTGAGAGAAAATGAGGAGCAAGTTAGTTTCCCAGGAGTGATTCAGAAAAGAGAGTAGCCACGGCTAAAATCAACTAAGTAAATAGACATCTCCTGGGGACTCCTGGACTGCCCTTTGGGTTACAGCAGGTCTGAGCACAGTGCTTTTTACAAGCAGGAAAAGCTGTGTCAGACACACCTGGGATTCAAATCTCACCTCTGCTACTTATCAGCACAGCTGGAGACAGCTCTCAGGAAAAGAGATAACACTGATTTGTTTGATAACATGAAAGGCCACCAACAAGTGCTCTGGGGCTCAAGTTTCTGCATCTGTAAAGCAACACAATAAAACCCGCCTCTGGGTCTTCCCAGTGCACCAGCCCCGAGCACCTGTCTCATGCATCCAACCTGGGCTGGTGATCTGTTTCACCCTTGATAATATACATGTTTTGATGCTGTTCTCTCGAAACATCCCACCCTCGCCTTCTCCCACAGTCTAAAAGTCTGTTCTGTACATCTGTGTCTCTTTTTCTGTTTTGCATTTAGGGTTATCATTACCATCTTTCTAAATTCCACATATATGCGTTAGTAGTGCTCGGGGCTGGTGCGCTGGGAAGATCCAGAGGGATGAGGTGGAGAGGGAGGTGGGAGGGGGGATCGGGATGGGGAATACATGTAAATTCATGGCTGATTCATGTCAATGTATGGCAAAAACCACTACAATATTGTAAAGTAATTAGCCTCCAACTAATAAAAATAAATGGGAAAATAAATAAATTAAATAAAGAACAAAGATTACCAATTATTAAAAAAAAAAAAAAACGCTTCTGGGGCTGTGGGAAGGGTCCATGTCAGGGCCAGGCGGCCAGGGATGGCTGGGCAACCGGGCTGACAGTGATGCCTGTGCTCAAGCCTTCAGCCAGCATCCCCTAACGCCAATTGTCTGTGGTGCCCATCACCTCATCCCTGTCCCCACCCTGACTATGATACTCTTGAGGGCAGAGTTCTGTCTCTGCTATCCTGTTTGTGCACCTGTCTCCACCCCAGCCGAGTCCACACTGATGCCTGCATCAGCTGAGAAAATGGAGACGGGGACGCACTGAGGACCCACCTGGTCGCTGCGGGGAACCCCGTAGCGCAGCTCATTGACGAAGTGCTCGCAGTTCTCGCTGGTCAGCTTGTAGAGAACCTCCTGGCCCACCAGCTCCTCTGCCCGCTGGACGATTTTGCTGGGAGGCAATGGTGAGTATCTGCCATCATGCTTGTTGTTGACGTGGTACCGGTCTCTCCCGACCACGTCACACAGCCGCTCCTTCTTCACGAAGGCCTTGTCGGTCAGTGCAGACATGACACTGGCCACACCAGCTCCTGGGATTTCGCCTGTGGATTCAGGATGAGGAACACGATTGGTTCTGGGCCGGCCCCCAGCCTAGCATCCACCACATCCACCAGGGGATGAGCAGATGAGTCAGGGCCAGAGTTGTGTGGCTTTGGATAAGACCCTTGTGGTCTCTGGTCCCTGGTTTCCTTATCTGAAAGGAGGAGTGAAGTTCCATAATTTGTTGTGATTTTTTTTAACCTACAGAAGCTGGCCTTGTACACCCTGTGACACTCCAGTGGCCCTCTGATTGTGCAAATAAAGGCTCTGAGCACACCCACCTCCCTGCGAGAACGGAGTGTTAATTTTTTGTGATCCCGCCAAGACTCCACTTCCCTGACACACACAAAACTGATGACTGCAGAAAAGGTGGATGGATTTGGGGAATAGATCCCATTTCCCTTGGAGCAAAGGGACCAAAGCCCCACAGCTGCTCCTAGAGATATGACACCAGGGAGATTCAAGGGGTACACTGGCATGGCCCTGGCCAATGCTGAGGGGCTAGAAGGTGCAACAGATTTCCAGAAGTGAAACTGCCTTGAAGAAAGGGATTTGGGGCCGATACAGGGGACAGGATGGTGTGGAGCGAAAGCTGGTGCCCACACAGAGATCCCTCTTAAGGTCACCAGCTTATATCATGTAGGAAGGGTATGATGACTGAAAACTGGGCTTGTATTAAAGAGGTGGACCGCAGGGAACATCACAGAGGAGACTCATGCCCCTCAGAGAGCCTCTGTGGCCCTGCCATGATCAGGAACCCCCAGGTCTCAGGAGGGGAAGCAACCCATTACACGGGGCAGGACCCATCTTGCACTGTGACACCACGTAACAGCAACAAGCAACGGCCAGAGGGTCTGATCAGAGTGCAGGTCCTGTTTTGCTTGGCTTTCCAAAGAGGACCGAACCCCTCTGCCCAGAGAACAACTATGAGATCTGGAAAATCAGAGGAATTCAGACTTCCTTCTAGTAGGGCAGGAGATGCTTAAAGGATTCAGTGAAATAAATAAGAAGGTGTTGTGTTTGAGTCCTAAGTCTGTGGAAAGGGTCAGTGTGGGGACTGGATCAGGGGAACTCTGGAGGCCTATCCACCTTCAGCCCCTCAGCGGGCAGGTAGGGGGCTGGGACTGGGGAGAGGCAAGCTAGGTGCTTAGGGCACAGGATTTCAGGAGGTTCCAGCTCCAGAGTTGCAAGTTCAGAGTCAACACCCAACAGTGAGGGCTTCCTTACACTCCACATGCTGGGTGCTACCCTGGTGAGAGTGTGCACGGGCTCAGAGGCAGAAGCAATGGGTGCTGATTCTGGTTCCATCACTGCACGGTCTTGACATGTCACTTAACTTAGCTGAGCCAACACTGGGAATCCACAAATACAAGCTAAGATGGATTCATGAACACACATCACTTTAGGAATTTAAAAGTTCCTTTTAAAAGAATTATTTTACTTTTTAAAGTTAGTCTATTAAACAAAATACTAATTAAACAATTGGAGAAAGGGCACCTGGATATGGCAAACACTCGATGACTGAATTTGGGGGAACCTCAGACTTGACAGTAGAGACTCAGGTTTAAAGGCAGGAAATAGAGAGTCAGAGCCAGGGCTTGAGTCTTACCTCCAGGACTTTCCTGCTATGTGACCTTGGACAAGTTGCTTAGCTTCTCTGCACCCCCATACCCTATAGAAAAGGCCCAGTAAATTTCACCTGTGCCTACAGTGGTGGACGGGGAGCTGCAAGGATTTAAGAAACTGACTCATTAAGGTGCCTCCCCCAGTGTCTGGAACAGGCTTAGTGCCCAGCAAGTATCCGCTTTCATTAGTACTGGGTTGTTCTCTAAGTTTCTTTCCGGCTCTAACTTCCACCATTTTCTCAGTAGTATGAGGTCAGTCCCCCTTGCCTCACCTATTTCACAAGATTCCTGTGAAGCTCCAATGAGAAGATGCAGATAGAAGCATCTTTTCCCTTTAAGGAGCATCGCTCACCCAGTGATGGGTGTCACACTGTCCACCAAGGTCCCTGTCAAGCCTTCCCTGTCTCCTGTCCAGCAGTTACACCCACTCAGCACAGTCAGTCAATCCCGAGGCCCTACTATGTGCCAGGCCTTGTCCAAGGTGCTGAAGCCCTCCATGAACTTGACAGTGTACCTACCCTCAACTAGTATACACTCCAGTGAAAGGACACTGACAGTGAACAAATAGAAAAAATAAAATACTTTTAGGTTTTGAAAAGGCTATGGGGAAGATTAAGTGAAGTCACACAGGAGAGCATGACCAGGGGAGGCTGCCCTTGCTCAGACTGGGGAGGGCCATGCCCAGGAATGGCCATTTGAGTTGAGACTTGAATGATGAAAGGGAGGCAGCTGTGCTGAGAGCCAGGAAAGAGCATCACAAGCAGAAGGGAGAGCAAAAGCAAGGACCTCAGGCAGGAAGGCTGCAAGGAGGCCAGTGTGGCTGAAGTCTTGTTGGAGAACAAGAATAATGTTGGGGTCCCCAGTTACCCACAGCTCCCCCATCCCCCTCCTCTGGCCCCAGCATGGTGGAGGCCCTGGGTGCCCTTACTTGGCGGAGCCAGATGGACCACATATCCGTTGCCAATGTAGACGGCCCAGTGTCTATAGAAAGGGCGGAAAATCTCAATCAGGTCTCCAGGCTGGGGTTCAGGCTGCAAAACCAAGAAAAGGGCTGTTAGAGGTGATGGGAGAGCAGGGAACCAGGGCAGGGCTCAGTCCAGGGGGAGCAGCTCAGCGGCCTTCATCTCCCAGCTCTCCAAGACGTCCTCCCGAGCCCACCTAGCCACGCCCGTGCCCGGCCCACTTCACACACGTGTCCCAGGATTGCAGGGACTATGGACCTGGCCATCTGTCATTACGACTTGCGAAGTGCACACCTAAAGGGTTTTTTCATTTGCTGGGGCTTCTACCTTCTTGTTACTCTTAATATTATTTACTGAACTCGAACTCTGAGTCAAGCACTCTGCTAAGTGTTTCACAGGTGCAGCTCAATTAATTCACACAACCCACCTATGAGGTGGGCACTTTTGTGAACCCCGTGTGATGAAAGAGGAAATCAAGGCTCAGAGATGGAAAGGAGATTTTGCAAAACCACACAGCCCCTGACTGATGTGACCAGGACTCAGCGCTAGGCCGCCTGATTCCCAGGCCATCGTCTTGACCCCCACAGTGACCTCAGGCAAGCATACGGGTTACCTGCCTAGAGCTGCCCACCCGAGGACCCTGCAGACGCCGTCACATCTGGGGGGGATGGTATTCCACAGACACTCCCCTACCTACCCAGAGCCTGGCGAAGGGTGGTGGCAGCCTCTGGCAGTAATGGGCCCCTGGCTGCTCATCCTGAGGGTAAGAGTGCGTGCATGCGTGTGTGACAAGGGAAGTAACACTCCTCTGCACCGTGCCCACTCCTCTCCTTCTGACACCGGATGTGTGGGTCTCCCACACTAAGCAATTCAATCCTCGGTGCACACTGACTGGGCGTCCCACAGCTGAACTCAGTTCTGACACTGACGGCCCAGAGTCAGCCCGGACCCCACACGTTTAGTCCCAGGAGACTGAGCTTCAGATGCTAGGTGCAAGTTGCAGGTTGCTACCTGCCTTCTGAACAACTGGCTGTAAATTGATGGTTCCCACAGCCCCCCTCCTCGGGTTCAGTGGTTTGCCGGAACAGCTCATAGAACTCAGGAGAACAGTTTACTTGCTAGATGACCAGTTTACTAGAAAATATGCAATTCAGGAATGCAGAGGGCAAGCTGTGGGGCAGGGGGGATTCAGAGCACCCCTGACCCCTCTGGGGACCACTGCTCTCCAGGACCTCCATGCTCTTAGCAACACCCCATGTTAGGGGTTTTGTGGAGGCTTTATTATGTAGGCTAGGTTGATGAGATCATTGCCTACTGGTGATTAATGCTACTTCCAGCTCTTTGGTCATCCGGCTGGTTGAAAGGGGCTGCTTCTGAATGATGAAACGCATTCCTCTCTCCCCCGCTGCTCAGGAAATTACTCGGGCTTTAGAAGCTCTGTGGCAGGAACCTGGGACCAAGACTAAATAGACATTTCTCAGTAAATCACAGTGGGCGTGTGTGGGAGTGAGGGTGTGTGTCTGTGCACAGGGGAAGGTGTGAAGGATGCGGAAACGCTCCTCAGAGCCCCGCCCTGTCATGGGAGCAGTGGCCCAGAGCCTGAGAGCAGTCAGGGGAGCTTCAAGATCACTGTCACTCAGTGTACTGAGGTCCCAGTACCAGACACTGTGCTAAGTGCTGGAGGTGGGGGCACACCATTCTGGACTTCCCTCGTCCAGTCCAACCGTGAATCTCTTTGGGACACCTGGAGACAGAGCCCCTCAGAGGTTGTTTGAGCCCTCTGTCCTTTCCCGCTCACCCCTTGCTGTTCCGGGAGAGACCCACAGGGGTCTGTCCACATCCCACCTCCCAACTCTGGCCTGACGGAGAGATTCCAGCAAAGATGAGTAGGGAGTGTGTATGGCCTCCCCTAGGACAGCAATGATGGGTAGTTGGAATAGCCCATCATAACTCTACAGTGGCTATGAAGCAGAGTCAAGGGCAGTTCATTTCTATTTATAGAAGCACTAAAACTGCCAAGAAGCATCCCATGTGGCAGGAAGTATACAGACAAATCATGTTGTCTTATTGCAGCAATTATAATTTATCTTCCCAGAAAAAGGCACCCAAATATGCACTAGTTTAAAACATGCCAGCACTCAAGGAAACTTCTTTTTAAAAATGATCTGAAAGGTGATGGATTCACCCACGGGGCCCTGTGCACTAGTTAGAAGCAAGGACTCGATGTTCACGTGACCACATGGACAATCTTAGCTACAGTGCTGAGTGAAAAAATGAAGACTGAGCTCTGCAAAATACCACTTATATAAATTAAAGACACCCACACACAAACCAATAATACACATCTTATCAGAACCATACCCAAAAAAATTATTTTTAAAAAGCAACAACAAAAGAATCTCAAAAACACACACATCATTTTAGAAACTAAAGAATACATATTAAACATATTGGGATGCTAGCTAGCCATTGGGAAGACGGAGAGAAAACTGATGATATAATGGAACTTAAAAGTAAACAGAAGACAAGACATCTTGCAAGGACCAGTGAGGACAGGTTGCCATGAACAGAAGACATGAATAATTCACACTCTTTCACTAAACTCTACCTGGAGAAACAACTGCTTAATGATACACACAGCCAACTGTGCTCAATCAAAATTAAAAACTCAAGAAATCATGTTATAAGTTTAGAAATATGAGAACTACAGTCCTTGGGCCCATTGTGTGCCTCTGCTTATTTTTGTCTGCTGGCAAAGAATAATGTTTACATGTTTTAATGGTTGGGGGAAAAGTCAAAAGAAGAATATATTGTGACATAAGAAATTATATGAAATTCAAACTCCAGTGTCTATAAAGTTTTATTGGCACACAGCCATGGCCATCAGTTGTGGCCAATGCTGTTTTCTCTCTATGGCAACAGAGACCAGACATAGTAAAATGTTCCCTCTCTGGCCCTTAAGTTTGGATCAACAGTGACCCATTCCTCACTCAGCTTGATCCCCCGCCCTAAAATCCAGTTGTATGCTATGCCAGGTGGTTCTTCTCCCAGGAACAGGTGAGCCAGCAGGAAGCCAGCAATTCTCCTGAGCGCAGTAACCAGGGCTATCCCACACGACACAGGCAATGACAAAGGCAAAGCTGAGACTCTGCGCCCACAGGATTTCAGAACAAAAAGTCTTTATCCTCTCCACAAAAGCACAGCTTATAATGAGCTGTGTAACAGCCATTTTCCTTAGCAAGCAAACGGGGAACAATGTCTGGCCTCCGCAATTCATATTGGAAAAACAACCTAGATGACCATTAATAAGGACCAGTGAAATAAATTATCTTATATGTGTATGTATATACAGCCAATAGAGGGAACAGGTTGGTTTTACATGAGCAGACATAGAAGCAATCGAAAAAATAAGTTGGAAAACATTATCCCATTTTTGTTTAAAAAACATCATTGTGATTGAACACATATTGCTTTTATGTGAAATCTAAAACTAGGCTACAAATAAACTTATCTACAAAACAGAAATAGAGTCACAGATGTGGAAAATAAACTTATGGCTCTGGGGGAGCAGAGCAGGGAGAAATAAACTGGAAGATTGCGATTGACATGTACACACTACTATATATAAAACAGATAACTAATAAGAACCTACTGTATAGCGCAGGGAATTCTACTCAATACTCTGCAATGGTTTATGCGAGAAAAGAATCTAAAAGAGTGGGTATATGTACGCATATAACACATTCACTTTGCAGTATACCTGAAACTAACACAACACTGTAAATCAACTATAGCCCTATAAAAATTATTTTTTAAAAAAAATTGTACACTTATAAGCAAAACATATTATACACTATGTATGAGCTACAGAAAATACATCAAACTGTTATATACTATATACAGTGGGGGACTGGGATTCAGAGACTTTTACATTTTATGTTATATTATTTTATTGTTTTTAATCAATGTGAATTACTTTTATGATAAAAAAATTTTAATAATTTTAGATGAGAAAAAAATCCTTCATACTGATGACCTTGCAGTTTTTTAATTGGAAAAGGTGAATATTTTCTGTCACCAAAACCTCTTAAAACCACCTTTCGTTTGAAGCTTGTAAATATTACCATGATATAATGCTTAAAAATCATTAACATTTAAATGTATCAATAACACATAAAACCACAAAATAAAACCGAAAATAATATAGGTGGATACATGTCAGATCTTAGAGTAGAGAAAGACATTCTAAAGATAAAGTCCAAAGAAAAAGGCATAAAGTAAAAGGTTGAAAGTTTTTATAGGTTTCCGTAGTGAAGAATCTACCTACCAATGCAGGAGACAAAAGTTTGACCCCTGATCAAGGAAGATCCCACATGCCTTGGAACAATTACACCAGTGTGCAAAAACTATTGAGCCTGTACTCTAGGCCCAGGCACCACAACTACTGAGGCCCACGCGCCCTAGAGCTCGTGCTCGGCAACAAGAGATGCCTCTGCAACTAGAGAGCAGACCTGGCTCATCGCAACTAGAGGAAAACCTCGCAGCAATGAAAACCCAGCACAGCCAAAAGTAAATAAATAAATAATCAACATTTGGGGGGAAAAGTTTTTATGATTTAAAAAATGTTAAAGCACTTCTTATTTAAACTTTCTATCATTGCCTATTATGTTCATACTCCCTTTTAAGAGAAAATGACCAGCCACAATCCCGACTGCCCCAGCAGCCATATTTTATACCACATGACCATTGCATCCCAGCCTCCGCCAGCTGGACTAGAAAAAGGCACGGACCCCAAGGAGGTCAGCATCCTGGGATCCTCCATGGTCCTCTCTCTGACTCTCAAAAATCTGAAGCAAGTAATTTTAAAAATAGCTTTTGATACAAGAGCTAAAACTGAAAAATCATGACATGGAGGAGACAAGAGAGACCCCAGTGAACCACAGGCCAAACCAAGGGTTGGAGTTCTCACACCCACTATGACCAAGCAGAAGACCCCTGTGGACAGTGGGAGAGAAAGAAGCAGGCACATCAAGAATAGCTAGCTGAGTCACATGATGGGTGGAGCACTA